GTTTTCCTTCCTCAATAATTCATGCATCAAATATTGACTACCTATAAGGTGGTATAAATTCATCAGGGAACATGGTGGACATGGGACACTTGCCTCCATGGGGTTTACCTTCTCACTGTGGAGACAACAATAAGATAAAGAAAATATATGGTATGTTAGATAACGATATACTAAGGAGAAAAATAGAGAAGGGCAGGAGATATGGTACTTTGGAGAGGGGCACCTGGGTGGTTCAGTGTCTGCCTTCGGCTCAGGTTATGATCCCAGGGTCCTGGGATCGAGCCCCCTGTCGGGCTCCCTGTTTAGCGGGGAGTCTGCTTCTCCCTCTCCCTCTGCCCTTCCCCCTGCTCGTATTCTCTCTCTCTCTCTCTCTCTCTCTCTGTCTCTCTGAAATAAATAAAATCTTAAAAAAAAAAAAAAAAAGCTTTGGAGGAAGTTGGAGATTTTTTAATACGGCAGCCAAGCAAGGCCTCCCTGAAAAGGGACTCTGAGTAATATCCTGCAGGAAGTGAGAGGATCTGGGGAACCACATTCCCAGCAGAGGAATAGCGAATGCCAAGGCCATGAGATGAGAGTACGCCTGGCAGGTTTGAGGACCAGCAATAAGCCCAATGTGGCTGAAGTGGAATAAACCAAAGGAGCTGCAAGAGGGAGATGGGTTTGAACAGATAAGCAGGGACCAGATGCTACCCCTAGGAGGTTATACAGGAAAGAGACTTTTCTCTGAGTGAGACAAGAGACCATAAAAGCTGTGAGCAGAGGAGTGGCATTTTAATAGGATCCTTCTGGCTGCAGAGTTGAAAACAACCCAGAGGGACACCGATAGAAGTAGGGAGCCTAGTTTCACAGACTACTGTCCTCTCCTTGTTTGCCAGTCAAAACCATCATTGCCTCTCAATGGGACTCTGCACAGCTTTCTAACTGGGCCCCCTCCTCCCTTCCTACCCCTCTCCAAAAGGAGTGTGACCAAATGCCTGCTCAAACCTCCCCACTGCCTTCTAGGCACAGAGTCAGTTAAAAGCTCCTAGAACTCAAGCTCTCTATGCACAATGTGGCCCTGCTTTAACTGTCCAACCTCATCTCCTAGGCCTCTCCACACCAACCGCAATACACCCGCTCAGCGTTCTCAAATACATCTACACAGCCTGACCTTGCCTTTGCTCTCTAACTGGAACTGTCCCTCCTCCACCTACTGAAACTTTCCAAGTCTGCCAAGGTTCTCCACAAATCCCACCTCCTCCATAAAACCTCTTTTGACCCCTAAACTCGATGTGCCCTTGACTGCCATTGAACGTCACACCGTTGCGTCTGTCCTTGCTTATGGTCTTTCCATCTGTGGTCGTCCTGTCTCCCTCCATGGACTACAAGCTCCCTGAGGGCAAACCATGGCTCACTCATCTTCATCTCCACCAGAGTATAAAGTAGCTCTTCTACAGAGTGACCAGTCATCAAATTAAATGATGACAACACAAACACAATCCAAAATTCCATAACTTCAAGTGGCCTATTTAAATCAGTTCATCCTCTCTGAGTAACTATTTTGTTCAGTTAGGATTATAAACATATTGCAGTCTAACACAGACAAAAGTCTAGCAGAGAAAAATCTGTTACATTTTATGCTAACTAGTCACGCTAAGCAGCTAAAAGATTAAAAGTGGACACAAAAATAAAATGTTTCTTATGATTAACTGCCACCAAAAGTTTTCTATTTAGGAAAATACCCAGCTAAATTTGGAAGACTTTAAAATGCTGGACCTCAAACCTCAGGAAAATTGATCCAGTTAAATATTTTAAAGGTTTATTTTTATTGGTAAGATTTGATGCAATCAATGCTAATCTCTTTATGGAAAAGTGATTCAGACCCACTAAAAATTCTACTTTCTCCTTTGTGGTGTTTTAAAACAGTCTTATTCCTGCATAATTTATAATAAGAATCTAGAAACACTGAGTCAGATTTTCCCAATGTCTATCATTAAAATGTGGAGGCAGAGAGTGGATTTGTATGGCCCAAATCATTTTTTCAAGGAAGTATGACTTATTAACTTAGATATTCTGCCACCTCCTCTCTGAAGAAGCTAATTTCAAATATGAAATAAAGACTTAGAAGAGCCCTCCTCCAGAAAGCAGGACAAGGGAAAAAACGATCTGAGAATCAAACTCCACTTTATTTCAAAATGAAATCTTAGCAACCATTCTTTAATTCAAGGCCTTACTGGTGAATCTCAATTTTGTAATAAAAAGTTATGTCAACAGTTGAATAACTCCCAGAGATTTAATGTATCCTTTTGAAAACCAGATTAAATACTAGACTGTCATTTCCTATAGGTGATAGGTATTATATATTCTGGGGGAAATCAATAAGTATAAGATAAATATGAATTAATTTTAAACATTCTAATTGAATATTGTTTCTACATCATCAACATCATTTGAATCATTTCCAACAAAACATTTGCACTATATACTCCGATTAAAACAGGATTCCTTTCTAACAGGAGAAAGTGGTTCTTGAAATTCCAGACTAGATGCAATTAGAGAATTCAGTGCAAGTGAAAGTAAAAAATGAACCAGCTCTGTGTCCTAATCAGGAGATTTAGAGGCAGAAGTGAGATCAGTCATCACAATGAAGGCATAGGATGAAAAAATTGAGAATATATCAGAAACACTGACAGGAAAATCAGAAAGGAAACCAACTACCCACCACTGCTAAAAGATTCCTCTTATTCTTTCCTTTAAAAGAAAACATCCTAATCTATTATAATGAGCATTAAAAAAAAGATGGAGAAGAGCAATCCCTAGCAGTACAAGATGATATACAATCAAATAGTATGTAGCTTCAATTTGGAAAAACAATCTTAAAATTCCATGACGGCTTTTGAATCCACGTGTCTAAGTGTGCTTCCTCCCACAAGTAGGTCCTGAGTCAAAGATTCAAGTCCACACAGTTTATCAGGGAGGCTCAGCAAACACTGCTTAGGGCGTGCAATACAGGGGATGTAGAAATAGACCTCAGAACTGTCTCACCCATCAAGTGGGGAAGCTGTGTTCATCAGCCAGTGGTTAAGACTGTTGTATGTTAGGGTGAGAGAGTGTTAATTCCTTGGCACTTGATGGCAGCCTCGAGCAGAAGCCAAGAGGTTTCCCAGCCCAGAAAGAAAACTGGACAAAAGGAGACCTTCAGGCAAGGAAGACCTACAGACCTTCAGGCAGGTACCAGTGGTCAGCAGCCTCCACCCCAAGACAGTAAGATCTCAGATGGAGACAGGGCATTAACATCATTGTCTACACTTTATCCTCCAAAGGAACGCCATTCCCATTTATACTCATATCTGTGGTTGGTGTCTGATATCAGTCTTCTCTTCCTTTTCTCAACTATCCAACAGAGCATATATTTCACATTCAAGCCATCTACCCCTAAGCTATAAAGTATACAATTTTAGCTTACCTAGTCTGTATTTCTCCCCTTGAGTCTACTTTATATTCTTCATAAATTAAGACTCTAAGTTTACTCCTGTGTGGTAAATTCTTTAATATCAATCTATTCTTAATCGACTTGTAAAAAAAAAATTACTCCTTTGGTAATAGACTTTATGATCCAAAAGACATGCAAGAAAAATAGTGGTCCATGTGTTAAGAGCTCAGGTCACACTAGCATCCAAGGAATCCTTGATGGTATTAGAGCAGAAGTAACTTTTGTAGTTCCAAAAGTACACATTGTCACAAAATAATGGGTGGGGGAGGACAAGTGCAGGAGGCAGATCTAAAACTTAACTGGGAAGGAGTATTTTCAAAGAAAAGTGACTTCGCTTGCTTTGAACAAATATAGTCTTAAAAATAGTCCAATCTAACCATTATTTTTCTTTGGTTGCAGGGACAGTTCCATAATACATTAGTAACTTCCTTCTAGGCCTGAAAGATTCCTCTTTGGCTTCAGTGTTTAATATAGTCAAAGTGAGATGATAATGTGCCTAGGTTACCTAAAACAACCCTGACTGATGTAAGCAGTTGGTAAATATTATGCTTCAGAATTTAAAAAAAAAAAAAAAAATCAATTCAGGGAATTTAGGAAATAGGTTGAAATTAATGGGAGCATAGCATTATAGGCTTCTTGCATTAGACAGACTTACTGTCACTCAACAGGTATATTGAACACAGAACAAATATTGCCTGGTTATAATTGAATTGCTTAGGTTTGAGATTGCCTAACCTAGTTTTAATAAAGTCCTTGTTTTTTGTTTGTTTTTCATTTTATTTTATTTTATTTCTTTTCAGTGTTCCAGAATTCATTGTTTATGAGACAAATAAAAATGAAAAAGTAGACAACTACACATTACTGAAACTTTCTAAATGTTTAGAGGCCCATTCCTTGGCTACTCTTCTCTAGGGCCACTGACAAGCCTTTGGCAGAGCCACTGCTAGATGAGACTGCTGTCTAGTGGTAGACTTTTTATTTAGGCAAGGTTCTGGCCACACTACCAAACCCACCATGCCCCTGAAACAAATCATTCATCACAGAATGCAGTATTTTAGAAATCAGACATCTCTCATTACAGTAAATGACGTACATAAAAATCTGTATCTTTAGGATCTCAATCAGTACTTCTCAAACAATTTGTAATGAAGAACCATTTTTAAATTAAGATTTCCAGGTTATCATGTACTGATATTTTTGTAAAATATATTAAAAGTGAATTGTAAGAAAACAAGTATTTTAAATATACAAAATGGAAGTCCAGTTTTATTATTATTATTATTAGATTCAGTAGGCATAAAATTACTGTAAATTTCTTGAAAAGATTCTCAATGTTTACTCAAATTCTCAGTACTTATCCTGTCATACACAGGTCAGTAACATTTGGTGGGGAAGCACTGACCAGGGTCCACACTTTGAGTAGCTCTGATCTAAAATACTGTGCACACAAAAAAAATAAAAACAATATAAAATAAAATAAAATAAAATAAAATACTGTGCACATATTCACTCAAAAGATATACGTTACCTCTGACATTCTTTCCAAATCCCATAGAAGAAACTTTTTTGTCCACTTGTTCACTATTGTTTGATTTCTCCTTCATAACGTCATCGTCACTAACAACATCAGCAGAAAATTTTTTCTTTTTCTTTTTCTTGTGTCGAGGAGGAAGCTTTTTTGGAAAAGTAAACATTGGGAATATCACAAGAAACATTGCAATGGCGCAAAGGAGGAATCCACTCCACCTAAAAAATCGGGAAACGTGAGCAGCATTTATGGCTTTTGCATTAGGTATGTGAACAAATTTGCAAAGTAGAAGCTCATGGTAATAAAATTCTCCAGGGAAAACTTTTGTAAAGCAAGGCAATGGTAAAGCAGTAGGACATTGGACAAACTAAGAAAACATAGGACTCCTCCCTATGTTATAAATGAGATCCCGCCCGAAAATTATACCAGTACCATAGTGAACATTGTAATTAGCAACCTGACTAGAATTTTACTGAAATATTTGTTAGCTCTGCTATAATGTGCATTTCATAATAAATAAAAAAATAAACAACTCATAACTATACAACCGAAAAATAATATAGACCCGATAGCATGCTTTGCAGACCAAAATAAACATATTTTTCTTAGAAGCAAACAATTCATATCTCATGTGAAATGTATTTTAAATTGTTAACAGCATTCAAATATTTTTCTGCAAGCACTTAAGAATATTTTGACCCTCTTAGCTAGCTAGTCCTTACAACACTTAACCATGAGGGCCACCAAAGACGTTTATATTTGATTGTTGCCTTCCGGAACTTACAACCTACTTGTAAGGGAGCTAAAAATACAAGAAACAATCCAAGAAACACAAGCATGTATACAATTAAGTGTCAGATCATGTGGTACAGACTGTGAATGCTATAAAAGTTCAGGTAAAGGAAATGTGTGTCAGAAAACTTCCTGGGAGAAGCAGACCGTGAGCTGTGTTGAACTGAGAGTCTGTCTTTGAACCCATCTGTGGTTGCCAAGCTGCAGAGACTAAGAAGCAAATACAGAGAGTAGTACTCAAATTCTAGTCCTGCGTTAGAGCCATGTGTTAAGGTCTTGGGCTTCTTGCCTGTGTAATTCCTCAAGGGCAATCTCTCAGTCCCCTTTCAATCCTCTCTTAGCAAGGAGAGGCCCCTGATCCCACAGAACAGCATTGCCACTTTCTTCCTAGGACTCCTCAGCTCTCATCTCTGTCCTTCAAGCTTGCAAGTTCTTGATGTTCAGACTCTGTCCTCTGTCTCAGCACATTCTCATCAGTTGTAACCTGAACGCAAGCAGCATTCTAAGCATCAATGTCAAATTCAACCCATTAGGAATACAGATCAATTGCAAAGTGAAAATTCATTTTTTAAAAAATAGTGATCCTATTAAAGTACCATTATCAGCTGTTAAAGGTCACAGTTTCACTGACAGAAGAATTTCATGAGCCAGTCATTAATAATCCAGTGTGCTATTTTCAAAGATACTTAGAGTTATATCAAATAAAGATTTTTAAACAACTGGAGGAAAAGGACTTTATTTTGAGAAGATTGCTAGGGGCAGACTTCTAGCAATTTTAATTATTCAGTATATAATCAAGAACCCAGTGACTGAATAAATAAACTGAATGAGATAGATTTAAAAAAAAAAAATTCTTTAAATGTCTGCAGAGAACATAGCCATGACCATATCTGACCCCTGTAGTACTTGGCTGCTTATGAGGCCTTTACTAATAAATTGCCCCTGCTAGTCTACCACCTTTGAATCCCTTTTTATAATTCTGCATTCAAGGCCCTTGGACTCTCTCAGTTCCCAAAGCAGAACAGGACAAACAGCACAATATACGGGACAGTTCTTGAGCTGTGGCTTCAGACAAATGTGGGCTTTTTTGTCTTGTCTTCATGACTTACTGGCTGTAAGATCCTGGGGAAATTATTATTTCACTTTCCCAAACCAATCTTCTCATCGGAAAGGGGAATAATGTGAACTGTTTTTTGGAATCATCAAAATTAATAAGACAATGTATATAACAGACCTCAAAAAATACCTGCCCCCAAATCAACAATCACTTCATGGTAGCTAGTTTTGGGTTTGTTTTTTTTGTGGATCTGTACTCAGCACCCCCCACCCCCGCACCTCCACTCAGAGCCATTGACTTAAAATTAGATGCAAACATTAAAGATACACTCATATAGGCCAGAATATGAGTAAATAACAGAAGGAGGGGAGGAATTATAGAAAATAAACAAAAATAATATAAAAATAGTATAAAAGTTTGGGGGTTTTTCAAAGCCGAGCAAACTGGCCCACATTCTTCAATGGTCTTCAGCAGCATTGACGATGATAACAATGATGAGGCCAAAAAGACCGTGAGAGAAGCTGAGGAAGACAGGAAGAGTCTGAGTGGCTCATTGGGTTAAGTGTCTGCCTTCTGCCTAGGTCCTGGTCCCAGGGTCCCGGGATCAAGTCCTGAGTCAGGCTAGGCTCCCCACTCAGCAGGGCGTCTGCTTCTCCCTCTGCCTCACCCCTCCCCACTCTTGTGCATGTACTCTCAAATAAATAAATAAAAATCTTTAAAAAAGAAAGAAAGAAAGAAAGAAAGAAAGAAAGAAAGAAAGAAAGAAAGAGAGAGAAAAGAAAGTGTGAGTTATATGTTAGGAAAAGACCCGTCAGTAAGAGCTAAAATTGAAAAACCAGGGTCCCTAAGTCCCTTTTACAAACCACCCCTCAGAGTCTATGCACAAAGTAGGGCCAGTTAAGTATACTGACTAAGAGCTTCGCCTGTACTCGGTTTCTTATCCCAGCTCTCACTGCCTCTGAGGCTTTGGGCAAGTTATTCAAATCACAGGGCATCAATTTCCTCATCTGTAAAATGGAATATTATTGAGTATATATCGTTGTTACATACGCAGGCTTAAGCATATGAAGCTGAAATAAAAATGTTTGTGAAGCTCTTAGTAGAGTGCTTGACACATAGTAAGTACCCAATAAACGTTAGCATTATTCATTCTTTCCTTCAATCTTTCAGCACATGTTTATGAAAAAATCCATCATTACTGCTAGGCATTGGATTAAATAGCATTGCATCAAATAACTCTGTGTTTGGTCAAGGTAGAAGTCTGTTACAAACAGACCTGCTCAATAAATAAAATTCAATTTTTAATATTAGAACATTAAAATAAATATGAATTCCTGAACATGGATTAAATTCAAAGGACTTAAAAATAGCTAACACATACTAGGTAGCTAGAACTATTTAAAGCCCCACCTATATAGACTCATTTATTCCTCACAACAACCCTATGAAGTAGATACTGTAATTACTTCCATTTTATGGATTCTTTTCAAACCAACAACTGAGGCACAGAGAGGTTAAGTAACTTACCTCAGGGTCACACAGCTATTAGGTGGCAGACAGAGACTTAAACCCTGGACGGTATGGTTTTGGGGTCTGTACTCTTAACACTCTACTTTGTTACCAATTAGATCGATGTCTAGAAAATTTTTAAAAGTCAGCATAAAATACTTGTAAGCCTAAAGCTCCTTTCTCCTTCCTTCTCCCTGCCCCCAATCTGGTCCTCCTCCGCCTTTCTCCCTCCCTCTAGATGTTCCCTTATTGCCATGTTCTTTTCATGGACTCCTATATAGAACACAAAATGTACACCGAATGTTCATATACATACTGTCTTTTCTATTGTCTTGTCTAATATCCTTTTTGAGAATTAAAAAAAAATCCTTACTCTGATTTATTTCAGAACTGCAAAGAAAACAGTAGTTGAGGCCAAAAATTTCACTATTAGTCAAGAACTTAAAACTCCTGTGTTATTCCCCTAACGCTGACAAGGGAACTTCCTTCTGTACGATTGGAAAATTCTACAAGCCCAGGTTCATCTAGATCTCAGCACATCCATCCTCAAAGAGTATGACTTATAAAAATAAGGAGCATTATGTAATTTAATTAACATTTCTTAACTGCTTTGAAAACAGACAGCCTTAAGCATTATTCCCACGTATTTCCGAGTTATAAGGCTATTTTATAATAAAATGCAGAGATAACACAAGTGCTCTAAGAAACTCCTTTGAGGGTGATCAGTTGACACCAATTTCTACTACTGAACTATTCTCTTTGCTATAAGACGAACACGTCTTATCAATGTATACCTATCACTAATCCGTGTTAAATGAATTCAGGAAGCCAATACTTGTCAGTTAGTACTTGCTATCATGAAGAAATAATTCACTTTCAAGTCGAGGATTATGAGGAACTGAAACACAGTCCTGGCTATGAGGATAAATAACATAACCTCCAAAGTTGGAGTTCTCATTCTAAGTCCCCAAAATTACTTATTTAGCAAGACAATTAAGGGCTAGCAAGTGAGAGAACAGCTAAATCTCCAGCACTCTGTTGGAAAAACAATTACCAAGTGAAAAGATTCACTAAGAGTGTGACAGCGGAAAAGGGCGGGGGGGGGGGGGGGGGGGGTTGCCGGAGTTTTGGGCCTTCGGGGAGGGCTGACAAAGTAGAAATGCAGATATAATAAGGAAGTGGGAGAAAATACTTTTTTAAAGGCACAGAAAAGATAACGAAAGCTAGGACTCAAGTTCACAGGAAAGCCCCAACGCAGCCACCTTCTACTCCTCCACTCTGCTATTTATAGCAAAAAGCGCCTCAACCCTAAAGAAGGCTGGTTAAGCTGATGTTCCCAAGCCCTTGGCATTAGTTTTTCCATTGCTGCTATAACAAACTACCCCACATTTAGTGGCTTCAAACAACACAAATGTGTTATCTTCCAGCGCTGGAGGTCAGAAGTCTCATGTGGGTTGGCAAGACCGCATTCCTTCTAGCCTATTTTTCTAGGGCTTCCTAGATCCTAGAGTCCCGAGTGTGTTTCTTGGTTCATGATACCTTCCCCCATATACAAAGAATGTCGCTTCAACCTCTGCTTCAATCACCATATCTCTTTCTTACTCTGACCCTCCTATCTCCCTGTTTCCCTAATAGGGACTCTTGTGATTATACAGGGCCCATTCCCCTCTGACATCAGGAAAACCTTCCTATCTCGAGATCCCTAGCTTAATCACATCTGCAAAGTCTCCTTTGCCATGTAAGCCAACACATTCATAGGTTCTGGGATTAGGACAGATAGATACCTCTGGAAGATTACTATTCTGCCCTCCACTCCCTTCTAGGCGACTTTTAGCTGGTTTTCATATTCCCATGGGGGAAATTTTTATTTTAACTATAGGGATACTATGACTTGAACTATCATTAATAACAAATGAAATGAAGAATTTAGTAAACAATTCTTACCAGTTTCCAATGAAACGAGGGTCATTCTGGTCAAGGTTAACAGGATTTCTGGGATCGACATAAAAACCAATAAGAAGTCCACCTAGTAAATATCCCACTGCAGGACCAAGTGCTCCCATGACATACATGATGGCTGAGAAGACAGAAGGGGAAGCATGAAATGCAGAAATGTTACTTAAGTCTCAAGAGTTGTCTAATTTCAGTCATACCACATATATATGTCACAGTTAAACCCAGGTAACAGCATCCAAAACCAGAGAACTTCAGCGATGTGTTTATATTTATATTTGGGTTTCAGATCATGCCCTTTATTTAGCCGCTACCTGTTGTCCTTTTAGAACGTCAGAATTATCTTTGGACAGCTTTTCAGTTGCTTTTGTTTTTGTTTTTTAATGTAAGTGCTCAGACCCTACTCCAGACCCACTAAATTTGAATTTTTGAAATTTGAATAAATTTGAATAAATTTGAATTTTTGAAAGTGCCAGTCAATGAGCAGTCACTGGATAACCCAGAGAAGATAAAAGGCCATCTCAAGATTGAAAAATCAATAATTTGGCTCAGTGGGTGAAAGCCTCTCCCTTCGGCTCAGGTCATGATCTCAGGGTCCTGGGATTGAGCCTTCGGGCTCTCTGCTCAGTGGGGAGCCTGCTTCCCTTCCTCTCTTTCTACCTGCCTCTCTGCCTACTTGTGATCTCTGTCAAATAAATAAAATCTTTAAAAAAAAAAAAAAAAAAAGGTCATCTCAAGATAAGAAAAAGAGAAAAAGTAGATGTAACCTGTCACAGTTGGAAGATTCCAACAGCATGAAGGAACTCAAGGCCAGATTCTGCCATGGATTTAACTGAGTTGGCAAAGATGCTTAAGCACCTCAAATCATGAATATTTTTCAAGTCACCACTTCAGTATCAAAGAAGAGCTCACAATGCATTTGGTGTATTGCTAATTGAGGAATCTTACTTAAAGATTAATAGATCTCCTTAAATGGCATCAATGAAAAGATCCAAACAGCACCAACCCACAGCTGAATTAGAAGATAATTTTTTTATGACCAAAGCAGGAGAGGAAGGGGTTGGTTGTGTCAGTAGATCAGAAAGTGTGTCATTCTACTAAAAAAAAAAAAAGAAAAAAAAATTGGCCATCCAAAATGGGCATATGGCAAAAAATAACAATAAATTCACTGTCATTCCTTTATACTGTTTTCACTGCTGTGATTTCAAATGAAAGAATAATTTTGTCAAATTTTAAATTTTGAGGTAGGATATGAAATTCCTTGGAAGGCAGAGAAAAATCTGGAGTGTGGCTAACACTCCAAACTTACTTTTTTTTCCCCCTGTTAAAACTTACTTATTTGGAGAGAAATCTATAAACACTGTTAAGATGTTCCTGTGTTTAAGGCAGGCTGAACTCCCGTGTAACTTCTCATTTCTACTGCCATCATGCATTTAAACCACTGAACAAGTAACTGGTTTGCCATACCCTTTAAACAGTACTATATTTACCAAAAAGCAAAGTGAACTAGTCAGACTAGCTTCACCTTATTTTATCTTCTGCACCTCAATAAACTTTGAATAAACTTGTACCTCGTTACTTATAACTACAGACAGTAATTTAACACCTGCTCTCACTTTTCACACTATTTCAAAAGAGAAAACACAGTGTTTATTTATCTTACAGAATCATCTGCTTGTGACAATAAGACATTAGGTGCTTCGACTTCTCCATCTGTGTTCAGAAATGGAGAGCGGAAGGAAGCAGGGCCACATGTAATCAGTATTCTTTCAGAAGCACGATTTTTGCCGTTCTTTTGGCAGCGTGCTCTCAATAAAATAAAAAGAGAATTTTGATAAACATCATGTTAACCTCTCTGTTTGTAGCCTGAAACAGAACTCAAGAAGAAAAAGTGATTTTTCAGTCCCAGGTTTTCCATATGCATATGGAGATAAAATTTATGTTTACACCTCCAGGCAAACCAGCACCATTTACAACTTAAAACTGTAATGAGGCCAAAATGTGACATGAATCATCTTCCCAAAATAGTTCTTCTGGCATGAAAGAGACTGTCTTACAAACACAGACAGGGAAAAGGGTATTTCCACCATACTGTTTTTGCCTGGGGCACTTGGGTGCAGCATCTTGAAACGCCGATCAGCAATGTGCGGGATGGGTGCTGGCAAGACCTCGCGATGACACAGTGCATGGAAAACCAATTAAGTAACATTCACCTGAAAACCTTAACTACTTTGTAAAGTACAGAGAAAGCTTTCTAAAATGCAGCTACATGATCAGAAGAAAAGTATTTGTAATGTGTAGCACAAACTGAGGCCAACTGAGTCATTCTCATAAATAAGTATATACATAGATCTATATAATTGTACTGTGTATTATACTATATAGTGTGTCCTAACTATACTACATGTGCTATATCTGTGAATCAGCAAATATGGAACACTACAGAGAGAGATAGAGAATAACTTGTTGACATAGTCCCATCTCTATATAAATCATTCTGGCCACTGAGCTAACATTTATTAATTGATTAACCAATGGCACTCACTCAGAGCTTATTAGAGGAGCAAATTGTTCATGCAGATTCGTATCACTCACTCTCCCCACTCTCCCAGGCCGAAATTCCCAATCTCTCTCTCTCTCTCTCTCTCTCTCTCTCACACACACACACACACACATACACAAGCACACACACACACGCACTGCCTAAAGAAAGACTAAACTCCTCCATCTGGAGTTCAAGGGTAGGCCAGGTTGGCCTCCTGCTTCCACTTCAATATTAAAACCTACTGCCTGCACTCAGGGCTCCACACAGACTAACTCTCAAACAGGCCTGGACAGAGCCACCTCCCTTTCCTTGAGGACCCACAGTGCCCCCAGGTCTTCCTGTATGTGTGTGAATGCTGCCCCTTCTTCAAGGCCCAACCAAGTCCAGCACTGCCCACCCTCCCCTGAGTGGTCTCTGTCTCCTCAGAATCCCTGATCATCTACTCCAGTGGCCTCCACCCCTTTTCATCATGCATCCCTATCAGAAAAATGTTTTAAATATTTACCCACAGTGTCCTTTTCTATATGAATCATGTGTATTTACCACCAGCCTCATTCTCACAGCTCACACCTAATATATCAGTAAACCCTGCTGCTTCTACCATCAAATCATATCCAATACTCAGCTCCTTCTCCATGACTCTATCTTGACCCAAGCCACCAAGGTTGCTCATCTGGAAGACTGCTCCAGGCCTTCCAACCCATATCCCTGCTTATGCCCTTCCTTCCCTACAACCCATTTTCTAACACGGCAGCTCTAACAATCCTCTAGAAACTTGAGCCACGTCATGTCACTTCTTGGATCACACCTTCCAGTGGCTTCCCACCTCACGCACAATAAAAGCCCAAATCCTTTTATGTGGCTACAAGGACCTGCCCTCAGACTGGCCTCACCCACTAGCATCTCTCTGCTCCTCCTCCTATCCTTTTCCTTGTTCACTCAGCTCCAGTCAAACTGACCTTCTCCCTCTTCTTCACCCTGCCAGGCACCTTCGCACCTGAGGGTGTTAGCACTTGTTCGGTGTGGGTGTGGGTGTGAGCGTGTAAAGCTCTCCCCTCGGGTAGCCTCATGGTGCACTCCCTTACTTCCTCCAGGTAGTTATTCAAACTGTCCCTTCTCACTGCAGCCTTGTTGTCCCTCCTACCTAAAAATTCGAAACTTTGGCCCCAACTCTTCCCACTCTTTCTCTGCTTTCTTTTTCTCCTTAGTGCATGTTGGCACCCAACACACTCTACATTTCCTTTGTTCCTCTTGTGTACCGTCTGTCCTCCTCAACAAGAACGTAAGCTCCAGGAGGACAGGGATCTTGCCAGTGGTGTTCACTGACAAAGTAGTGTAGGAGGCACTAGACCCGGTTTGCTCCCGTTATCATTACCCTCATCACTCCCAGTCAGTCCGTGAACGTGCTGCCATTAGGAACAACAGACGTCAGTGACAAAGGTCGTCTTCAGTGTGTATCAGCTCTGGAGATATTAGATAATCACTATCAAGTGGATAGTTTCATGTTTTTTTGACTATGTGCCATCAGATCTGAGTACAACTGTCACTGGTTTTCTCTCATGATGAGGAGCTTATACTGGGAGCCCAGGCTATGCAAAGCACTAGCTACAGAAACAGAACTAGAAGTTCCAACATTCAAGAGCGGTCAAATTTCAGTCATATTACGTATATACGTCACAGGTAAACCCAGTGAACAGCGTCCAAAAACAAAGAACTTTAGAGATTGTGTCTGTGTTTATATTTGGGATTCGAATTGTGCCCTTTATTTAGCTGTGGCTGTTGTCTTTTAGAACATCAGATGCATCTGGAGAATTTTCTCTTGTGCCCCAAAGGACTGTCCTACATCCCCCCTGGATTGTACACAATTCAGCTTCATACCCCTTTCAGAGAACGCTAGACCTTTCCATTCATTTGAAACTGAGTGTGCCCTGCTCTTCACTTCTACTCTTTCTTCAAATGTTTATATCTTACCTTTTGAAGTAGCTCTTTACCTTCGACAGCAGGAGCCATTTTGTATACAGGTCTATGCAGTGGTTAAATCCCAGACTACAAACTCCTGGGTTTGAATCCCTGCTTCCATCACACATATAAAGTGCTTAGCATATAACAAACATGAAGAAATACTAAGCGGCATTTTTATATGTTGAATGCTCACCTATTCATTCTCTAACAAGTATTATTAAATATTAACTTTATATAGGCCAAATACATGCATTATTTAACAGAAGACATACTTATCTTTATATTACCTTAATAAATTATCTTTTCTGGAGTCACTATTTTTGATCCAGGAATTAGTTTTGATAGAGGCCTGGGCAGGTGGGAGTGGGAAAGAGAATATCCAGACCTTTTTTCTTCACACAAAGGCCCGTATAGACTCCTCCCAAAGCTAAGAATGTGCCTGTGGCTATTATTCCTTTTTTTGACCTTCAGGTTTTTTTCTGATGATTACAAAATACAATATGAATTATTTGTAGAGAAAACTCTCAAGAGCACAAAAACTTAAAAAAAATAATCACCAACAATCCTTACCATCCAGATAATGATGGTAATAATAGTAATAAATATTTTTTACTATT